GGGTCCTAGGGGGGAAGTTGGGGAGGGGTCTCAGGAGGAGGCAGTTGGGGACAAGGAGAAGGGAGGCTTAGATAGGGGGTGGGGTCCCAGGAGGGGGTGATCAGGGGACAGGGAGCAGGGGGGGTTGGATGGGTTGGAGTTTCTGGTGGAGGGTAGTCGGAGGGAGTGGATGGTGGGCGGGTGGGGCTACCTCCCTCCCCGTGGAGTGTCCTATTTTTTGAATGTTAAAATATGGTATCCCTACCCTTCCCAGTGCAGCTCTCCATTCACAGCAGGCTGCAGCATGAGGTCTCAGCTTCCTCACTCCCTCCCCCTCTTTCCTGTTGGTAGTGGCCAAGGGAATGCTGGGAAATGTAGTTCTTTCCCTGCTCCAGGGCTGGCTCTATAGGCAGGGAGCTAGCCAAGGAACTACAGCTCCCAGGGCTCGTTGGTTCTCAGCTCCCATGCTGGACCCTGCCGCCCCTGCAAATGGGCTGCCCCAAGCACGTGCTTGCTTTGCTGGTGCCTAGAGCCGCCCCTGATTTTATGTCTCACCACAACCCTCCTCTGCAGAAGCCCCAGTAGGCCTGACGCTTTGTTTGCTTTCACATGGTTAAAAAACCCTTCATCCTGAGAAGACTCCACAGATGTCTCCACCATCAAGGGGGCTGATGTCATTTAAATTAGTGCATAGCAATTATAAGATGTTGTCTCTGCTAGCATAGACAATCATTAACAAAGTTCATGCTGAGAAGGAAAAAGGGTGTTTTATGGCTTTCATTGTGCTCTCTGCCAACCTGATGCCACACTAATAATGTAACAGTTTAATGAACCCATCTAGTAATTCAAATATTTCAAATGCCCAAAGTGAAATGATGCTTCAAAGGTTAAGATCATTAATTCTTAGTTGGTCTCCTATGTGGCAGCGACACCCACTGCTATTGGATGGTGGCACATACTTCCTAACAGATGAATGAAGTTTGAAGGTTCTAAAGGCAATGTGGACACATGCTTATCGATATGATGGTTTTAAAGAATATTATCTAACAAACAGAAAGAGCAATTGGAATTGTTTCAGTTACTGGGCAAACTGCACCTCTGACTCTTCCTGATCTGTCCAAGCTCGCCCCCTCTAGCTCTCAGGCCTCAAGGCACCACCAGTCTTTCAGGGTGGAATCATGTGATTGTTGCACTCTCAGACTGGGCCCTGGGTTGAAACCGTGATTTACCTCAGCAGTAATCAGTGACCAAACGGCCTTCTTAAAGCAAAGTATCATTTATTTAGAACTCAAGCACTTCAGAGAAAACATATCTTAAAAACAATAAAAAATGCACTACACATATCTAGCTTACTGGGTCTTTAACTGTCTTCCACACGGGGACCCTAGAAGGACTAGCTCCCTATAGACTCTTCCACAGAGCCTCCCTCTCAAAGCTCATGACACGCTCTGGGCAGCTACAGAAACTCATCACCCTTCACAGGGATCAAGACACTTTTTAATTGTTTAACATCCTTTGATCTCTCATCTCCCGCCACAAAAAGTGATGTCATTTCGGCTTACACCCTTGAAGGATACCACTGTCTTTCGAGTGGTGGTTGGGTGCTCTTATAGGAAAAGCTATTGTGTCACCTGCCTGTACAGAGCCACTGAACTTGAGCCTTATTATAGTATAATAAACATTCCAGTAACCCCAATGTCCAATAACTTACATTTACTGACCAGGTCAGTGTTCTTAAAATTATTATATAGCAGTATTCATAACATTATTATGTATCAGCTCCAGATTTGCAACGAGTATTAGGAGAAAAAGTGATAACTGCCTTTTGTTTGGGACATTTCTAGATCTGCATCTGCACTGGCAAATCTGGAGCCCACAATTCACCACAGCTCCATAATTTGTTATTCCATGGGTGGTAGCACAGACGGACGCTATAGTGAAGAGAGGGCTCAGGTGTATTTTACTACTGTGCCACCTAAATGTTCTTCAGAGGGGAACTGAAGGTGCTCTGAGAATAGGGCCCTTCAAATGGGGGAGGGAGGACATGTGTGTGTGAAATTTAGGTAGGCTGAAAATATTTGCCTGAAGTGGAAACTGACTAACACAACAACGGTAACATCTCTCTGCTATTATGAAGTCTGCCGTGGGATCTCTAATGACCACAGGTGGTCCAGACCTTAGTTTTACTTCTCATCCGAAAGACCTCTGCTCCAGCAGCACAATGCCACCAAGAATAGTACTGGGACGTTGAGTCGGCACTGATTTGGAGGGAAAAGTGGTACCTACAGCAAGTGTTCTCACGAGTAATTAATCAATTAATACAAATATCCATAACATTTAAGTTTAGGCTTTTATTGTAAGGCAAAAGATAACCACAGCTTTTATATTAACAATGTGAGTATAACATAGATTTTCTCTATCGCTTCTAAACCAATATTATTAACACTGCTTTAAAATGCTATAATTCTAGCACTTCTATTAGTGCATGTATAATCTACAGTGCAAAACTAATACAATAAACACATCTTGAAAGATCACAGTGTTTCCAACATTGTAACATCAGGGTGTTTTAAACCAATAAGGTGCATTTCTACAAGGGTAAAATCAATCTTAGTTCTAAAGGAACTGCACCACGCTATGGCTGTGTGTGGGTGTCACAGAATAAAAATGAAGCTAGGATACAGCACTTGCTTATTAACACAAGAAATGAATACCATATATCATATGCTGGAATATAGCAAATGATCAGTGTATAGCAAATGATCACTAGATATGAAATAATATCTATGTTAGCAATGTAATTTACTTTCCATTGTACACTTGCTGGTACTCAGGTATATTTTTAGATAAATCGGGCCAAAGCAGGTGTAAAATGCTATCTAACTGGGCCTTGATCATGCAAACATGCATGTGCTGAATTGTTCTTACGTGAATATTCTTGATTTCGGTGAGTCTTGATGTCAATGTGCGACTCATGTGACTAAACTTAAATGCATGCATAAGGGTTTGCAGGCTTGGGGCCCAGAACGGTAGTTTCACACCACTTCACATAGATGTAATGATCTTATCCTGCACCACTGACATCAACAGGAGTTTTATCATTGATTTCAATGAGTTGGATGAGGCCCTAAATGACTACACAAAGTTGAACACAGTAGAAAAATCAGGCCCATTGTTAGTGAAAACCTTTCCCCCAACAGACATATTTATATGGTAATGAAGACTGAAGCACAACTTAATTTTAATTCATATAGTACTCTTGCCTGATATGAAACAGAAATATTTAAGATTTCTTGTCTCCCTATATATAGTATACAACTGACCCCAGGATTTCTATATAAAATGTTTTTTGGTACATGATACGCAACATTGTTTAGGAATATCATTGTATTATAAAATATCTTTTATACAACTATCAACACATTGCTATGCAAAATATGTTTTAATTAAAAGTAGTTTTTCTGCCATATTATTTGTCTTGCTGTATTTGAACCTAATTGCCTTAGCTTTCTCTTTGAATCATCACATGAAAAACGTCAGTGGGCTCTGTATATTTGTTAATAAGAGACTAGAGCCTTTCATCCTTTATGATAAATCCATCTCTTATTGATGTATTGATTTCTCAGAACATGACTGGCAATGTTACAAACAGAATACAGAACTAGTAATGACAATGATAGCCATTGGATATAAATTAGGCAGGAATTTTATTAGTTCAAAAAGTTTGTGTACTTCAACCCCTTTTTTGGAATACTCACACATATTGAGCATTTCTTCACAATTCCATTTATTAAATTAATCTATATGAATGGATAGCACTAGATACAATTACAGACAATTCCTATATGGACAGAATTTTTTCAGTGAGTATGCCTGTGATGACTTTGCTATAATTGGCATTGATTCAAGGCAGCAGAAATCTGTTAAGTACAGTGCATATTGTACAATATTTGTGCAACGAAGCAAAATCTGTGCTATTTTCTTGGAAAATGCCTATTCACATCCCAAAAATGCAGTATTGTTTTGTGGGCCCTGAGTTTTTCTGGCTTATGGCTTTGCAGTATGTTGTTCCCTTAGTAATGTATTTTTTGGACGTTTGCTCATTTCTTTTCAGTTTAGCCTTAATGCTACTTTCTACTCAATCCAGAACATTTAAATACAAACTCAAATTTCTTCTCACAGCAATGCAAACCAGTGGTGTTAGCCAATGGTTGTTCATCCATGTGGTTCATGACAGCAAGATTCATCTCTTAAATCTGTACAGCAATTCTCATCTCTGATATGGTGATCTTTGTATAGGAGGAGAACACCCATTGATATTATGTCAATAGACATTCAGGACAGGTAGGTGAAGTTGACCATAAGAGTTGAGATCTGCTCTATAGATCTGAGAGAGACATTTTGTCCATAAATGTTACTGGTCAAATTTTAAAAAATGGGCAACTAAGATGTTTTCTCAGTGATGCATGCATGGGTCAAAACAGATAACTACATGCATAAAAGATGCAATTATGTTTGCAAACCCTGTAACTACATGTGCAAATGGGTCTCTGCCTGGAGAATTATCCCATTTGCACCTGCAACTCTATATTTTGCACACACCTACAGTGGTCACACTTAAAACTTAACAATGTGACCTTTGAAAATAATCAGTGTTCTCCTGTTATCCATGGCATTTCTATATATTTAGTATCAGGAATATGAAAATGACATTATTTATTACAAATAAATGAAAAGTCTTTAAGGGTAACCAGTGTCTTTGTTCATTTGTGCATATTTCCAAGGATAATTTAGGTGTATATTTTGGAACACTAGTCCATTCTACCCACCCTCTTGTGACTGTCTTAGTAGAAATGAATTACGGTAGAACTGGAAATATTTTCTACAAATTCATTTTTGTTACATTCAAATTTATATTGATATTCGGATTTGAAAAGTCAGTGAAAATCAATATACAGTCCAAATGATTTTATTTAGCATCAGGGAAGTGGCAGAGCCAATGAGCAGAGGCCAGCAAGGAGTGAGAAAGTAACATAATACTAATATGTGGACAATCTCCTTTTACATTAAAATAGACAGCCCTGCAGTAGTGTGCTTTGTTTTCAAAAACAAAAGGAGTTGGTCTGCTAATCTAGCCTTCTGAAGTGATTCATAACATGGGTGGAGGGGGGAAAGGGGGGGGGAAAAACCCCATGTAGACAAAGCTGAGATTTAAAACAATGGCATAAAATAAGTATATTCCTGATGCTGAAAGCCTGAATGCTAGAAAATAAAAAAAACAGTAAGTATCTGATAGATCTCACATTTCTGTTGCTAAAAATTACACATTGTACCTGGCTCTATGAATCCTAAAATCACTAAACCTCAATATTTCAGATCTAGTTCTATCACCAAATAGAATAAATTATTCAACAGTAACCATTTGCAGATGATTTGCCAACAGTCATAAATAGTATATAGCGCCGTAGGCGGATATCTATTCTACCACTTTACACAACAGGATACGCACGCACCATAAATAAGCAACAACACACAATGTATGGCAAAGCGTAACCCCTTTGCTTTAAAAAAGCATTATCAGAAACACTTTTATACCACTTAAATTCCTATGGCCTATACTTCAGCAACCAAACACATTAAGGGATTTGACTTTAATGTGTAAAAGAGATTCTGCCATTTCGTGTTCTACTTTTGGTAAGTGGGTGAGGTTCTCCTAACATATACTATTATCACAGCATGGTGGCAGAATCTGCACAGGATTATGATGTTTCAAATTGTGAGATTCTGGTTCTGGAGCAGGAAGAGGTAACTTCTGCTAGACGTTTTGTCTCAGCCTGGGGGTGACACAGTTAGTCTCTGAAGGCAGTAAGGATGGAACATAGGAAAACTTATCACTTTGTTGTATCTCATTCACAGAAACACTGACATCTGCAGACAAGTTGTTAACTTGTCTACCTCTTAAAAGCTACAATAAAGTTTGCAACAGGGGTAAGTATGAGGGGAATTTGCAAGTGGATGGGGGTTAAGAGGAGGAAAGAGCTGAAATTCCAGATTTACATTATGGCTAGCATTTTCAGAAGTGCCTAAGTGAGTTAGGCACCCAACTCCCAGAGGAAATGAGGTGTCTAACTCCTTTATACAGTTTTGAAATCCAATCCTACATATCTAACTGTACATTACTATCAATTCATTAATTGTTTTGCTACTAAAGAAACTTTGAAAAATATGTGCTGAGTTTTTTCAATCCTTGAGGCAGAGCCAAGTCTAAATTAATGCAACTGCACCACAAGCATTTTATTAAGAATTAAATTGAATTGTTTTCCAATTTTTTTATTTTTTGGGGGGAAGAAACACGGGGACTTCACTGTTAAAGCAGTGTACGGCGGTTTTCTTAAAAGGTAATGCAGGATTAAAATGATAAACAATTAAGTTCCAAGAGACTGTAATATATATTTTTTATTTTACAAATGCTGAAATAAACAGGAGTTCTCACCCTGCTCATACTGAAGTCAATGGCAAAACCCCTTTTGACTTCAAAAGAACAGGATGGGCCTGAGGCTTTTGAAAACGGAGAGTGGTTATATCTGTTTTCTTATAGCAGAATGGATAATAAACACAGTGCAACCCTTACACAAGTAGTTGCTACTCTCACAATTAGTCCCAGCTGGCTAAAGATTACCTTCACGAGCAAGGGTCACAAGAAAAGCCTGTAAACTTGTTTTCGGTTGCTTTTAGAATATATGGCAAATTAGAAGAGAGATTCCTTACTGAATGTAAATCAGAAAGAATGAACTCTGCAAAAGGACAGAGATAGAAAACCATCAGAGAACTTAGAGTCTTGTAACAATCTCAATTTTTGTTTAGGATCTGAATTTTTGTAATTATTCCATTTTCTAGATTTGTTTGGGGTTTTGACACAGATCTTCATCTGCAGTGAAAACTCCTGAGACATAGCTAGTTGGTTACAATTAGGTTTTGTGGTGCCGGAGATAATGAAGAAAAAATTAAAATTTGATGATTACTGTGCTGCTATATAAATAGATTTTAAGTTCTAGGTTTTTTGCTTTTGACTGAATTGGGTGCATTGTGGTTCTTAGGTTTTATATACCAAAAACACTGTTTCTTCAGTCTGCATCTGTAAATAAGGCTGAAGGTAATAACTGCAGGATTAAAACAGCCCTGAGTCCAGATGATAGCAGAACCCAATTCTCCGTTTTAATTTAAGAAAAAAAAATATTTCCAAGATTGTTTTTCACAATAGACTAAAAAGCAATTAGAGGAGCTTTCTAAATACTGCAACATGGATATTATTATTTTTATATTTTAACTGCGTGAATACTATGTACAATATAAGTTTAGAATTAAATAATATCAGTAGGGCCCTACCAAATTCATGGTCATGAAAAACGCATCACGGAACATGAAATCTGGTCTCACCCCCTGAAATCTGGTCTTTTGTGTACTTTTACCCTGTATTATACAGATTTAACAGGGGGAGACCAGCGTTTCTCAAATTGGGGGTTCTGACCCAAAAAGGAGTTGCAGGGGGGGGTCACAAGGTTATTTGGGGGGGGAGGGCGCAGTATTGTCACCCTTACTTCTGCGCTGCCTTCAGAGCTGGGCGTCCAGAGAGCGGTGGCTGCTGATTGACGGCCCAGCTCTGCAGGCAGCAGCATAGAAGTAAGGGTGGCAATACCATACCATGCCATCCTTACTTCTGCACTGGTGCTGGTGGTGGCTGTTGTCAAAGCTGGGCTCCCAGCTGGCAACCACCGCTCTCCAGCTGCCCAGCTCTGAAGGCAGTGCCACCACCAGGCAACAGCACAGAAGCAAGAGTATCAGTTTCACAACTCCCCTACAATAACCTTGCGACCTCCCCAACTCCTTTTTGGGTCAGGATACCTACAATTACAACACAGTGGAATTTCAGTTTTAAATAGCTGAAATCATGAAATTTATGATTTTTAAAATCCTCTGACCATGAAATTGACCAAAGTGGACTGTGAATTTGGTAGGGCCCTAAATATCAGGTTACAAGGATAAAACAGACAGGTCAAAAATTTCACCTTTCCTAAACACATTTAAAAAGGTCCAAATTCTGAAAAATCTGTTAGCCATTCAAAACACGGGGTGCAACCTAGAAAAAGATCCCAACTTCTCAGCTGAGTGATCGACTAGCAACAGATCTGGGATGTTGGGCTGACCTCTAATCTTGGGCACACATCTGAACATGTTGAGACAAATCCCATTCATATTACTTATCCTTGTTCTCCCACTGATTTCAGGTTTCAGCACAATAGGTACATACATGTGAAATGTATTGCCTCTGCACACAACAATGAAGCAAGTAATGATACACTTTGCATTTTGATAGTACTGTACATTCTGACATTCCCTTTCCTCCAAGGATCCCAAAGTGCTTGACAGACTGATACAAAAATAGATTTCTTTATACATCACTGAAATGCATTACTCAAAATGCAGCTACTTCTGGGGTGAAATAACTACTTAACACTGCACCACACCACCATACAACAGGGGTCTGATTCTTCAGCCCTTACTCATCCAAGTCATCCCATTAAATAAATTCATGTGAAAGGGGCTTGTGGGAGTGAGTAAGGATTAATAACATATATAAGGGCTGCAGCGTCTGACTCCATTCTATAGCCTGATCCAAAGCCATGGAAGTCAATGGGAATCCTTAAAGGATCAGGCCCTAAGAAAAGCTGAATCTTTTCCAGGTAAAAACGCAAGGGGAATGGCAGATCAGCAGAGTACTGGGATAGGGTTATGCACGTGTCAGTTTGTACACGTGAAGCCATTGGGTGTAATTTTTGACCTATCAGCCTTCCCACTCTCCCCTTAAATTCAATCATATTACTGTATTCCAGTATAAAGAAATATATTGGTGTGATATATTGTAAATACAGGCATTTGCTGCTACAGTATTTTAACAAATCTATATTTGCATTTTGTTTAGGTCTCAAATAGAGTCTCTCTCTCTCTCTCTCTCTACTAAATAAAATACAATTTCTACTTATCCATGCTAGTGCAGTGTTACTGGACTGACCATAGATCTCAATAGCTACAAATCATTTGGGCATATACAATACCTTGTGTGGTACATTAACAACATTACTTTGTTAACCAGAGAAATAAGTGGCTTTAGTTTTAAACTTTTTATCAGCCTTCTCCTAAGCCCAGTATTTGGGGTTCCATCAAAGGTCTGCATACAATTTGTATCTCTAAAGTGTATCACCCCAATTCATCAGGAAATTATTTTGTCAATCACTTTGTCAATCTCCATATATATGCTACAGTTCAAATAATGGATTAAAGGCAGTTTTTTTGATGACTGGCAATAAGAAATATTACCTAGTATCTGATACTGTGAGACTAGCACTTGACTTCTATACCCTTTCTATTTGCAGGTTGTTGTAGCCATGTTGGCCCCAGGATATTAGAGAGATGAGGTGGATGAGATAATATCTTTTATTGGACCAAGTTCTGTTGGTGAGAGACAAGTTTTTGAGCTTACACAGAGCTCTTCTTCAAGTCTGACCTGAAGTTGGTCTAATAAAAAACATTACCTCACCCACCTTGTTTCTCTAAGACCTTTGCTACAGAATTTAGTGATCCAAGTCTTCTACATGGCTTCTGTTGATCTTCTTCATGAAAGAAGAGATATTGATAAAAAGATGGAGTATTACTACTACCTTAAGGTGGTGATAGGGATTAGTGTTTCTTAGCACACACGCAGTTTTGAAACTCATGGTCAAATTTATGAATACATACATGAAACCCCACTGGTACATGTGCAATTAAAGACAGAATGTAGCTGTGTAACTGCTATTATATGCATATGGCAATGAAAAGATTCCAAGATACAGGTACTTCTAGGGAAGGTGGTACTAGTACTAGGAAATGTTTAATTAAGAAATCTCAGATTTTGCCTTTTCATACTTTATTGACCTGTCTGTGTCACCTACAAGAGCATAGATGTATAATGTCCTATTTTATGGGTCTCTTTTAAAACCCATTGGATTAATCATTTTATTTCCCTTGCATGTCCCTACTGTTCAGATTTCCATTTTGTTTTTCTATATAACCATCACGTTAAGGATTGTTAATGCCTCTTTCGCTCTCATTTGAATAATCAGAAGACATTACTTCAATTTTGAAAAACCACTTCATTCTCCCCTTTTATTTTTAAACTGTTAATTTTTAAAAAAGCCACATACTTCCCTCCTCAAACCCCAGTATATTTAGGCTTTTTCCTGACCCCCCAGCAAAATTAAGGCTAGCATTAGTGGTACCACTGAATGTGGCTTATTTTGTAAATAGCCTCCCTTTACAGATAAGTGAAACTGCAGGTGCCCTGTGCATGGCTGTTCCAATGTGGCACTGGAGAACACCCTTCTCTAGACAAAGACACTGAAGAGCGGGAACTCGGCCTGGTTGGGCTGCAGCAAGTCAATCAGGAAACACACAGTCCCCGAGAAGCCTTCATACAGACTATATATGTTTTCTAATGCCCGGGAACCAGCCTTAAATTCTTCTGTAAATAAGAACTCTGCAAACCTAAGAAACAGTAAAGACAAAAAAAGAAGTCTTTAGTACCTCTCTCTTTATGCAACTCGCTTTGGTGCCATCCCTGTGTATCTATTCATTTGTCATTAGAAGGCTTCACGTCAACACATTCAATAGGAAGAATATTAATACACCTCTACCCCAATATAACGTGACCCGATATAACACGAATTTGGATATAACGGTAAAGCAGTGCTCCGGGAGGGGCGGGGCTGCGCACTTAGGCGGATCAAAGCAAGTTCGATATAACACGGTTTCACCTATAACGCGGTAAGATTTTTTGGCTCCCGAGGACAGCGTTATATCGGGGTAGAGGTGTAGTTTCACGTCTGCTAGTTATCTGACATTATCTGCAAATCTGTTTACACCTTTTTCCCCTCACCAAACTGAGGTCCATTTGATCAAGAACAGAAATGTTCCAATCTGTATTTATATATTTGACATGCTTGGTGCCCGTCTGAGATCTACAAGCTTTTTTGTGTCTCTGTATAACATTTATAAGTGTATAAATGGAAGGGTTTTTTTAAAAAGTGTTTTTATATTGGTCTTTGTTTCATCAGGACCCAGCAGGACACAGAACAGCAATGCTTTCTGGATGGATGTGAAGAGCCCTGTATTACAGACATGATTAAGCAGGTGAAATACTCTCAAAATACTATAAGATGAGCAGCATCTTAAGTAAGATAATAAGTCATTGTGATTCCGGAACTATTTCCTGTTTGCTAAGGAAAATGGAAACAAACATATCATCATTTAAAAGAGCTACAATACGTCAGAAAAAAATCTGAACTAAAAATAACTGCTCCCTGCTATAATTCTAAATAGACCTCATCCCTTTTAAACCAGTATAAATAGGAAGTTGATGGAGTTACACTGATGTAAAACTGAGAGCAGAATGAGGCCTGAGTATGTGTAAAATATGTGGAGAAGCAAGATCCTGGCTTAGTTGCACTTCTATGTACTGACAGACAGTGTCACATGTTGTGAAAACCAGAGAGAATCAATATAATGAAACCAGCAGTTCATTTCACTCAGCTGTGTAGCAAGAGCTAGAATTCTCAGGTATTTGTTCATAGGCTATGGAGATCTTCACTGCTGTATTTCTGAACAGGCCCAACCCCTTCTGGTAATGGCTAAAAGTCAATAACACGACACCTACTCAATAGTCTATGTTAGATGAGTTATGATCTTAGTCCCAAACTTAGCGGGCGTGTATCCAAACCATATTTGGGGACTCTGAGTATTCAGAACTTCAGTGCCATCTAGAGCCATTCCTCTAGCCCTCACCCCCCATGGCAACCATAGGAGGAGGTACAAAAAGTCAATAAGTAGCATGGACCCTTTTGAGTTTAATCCCAGTAAAGGGTTGCGGAGTCCCACTACAAGCACCTCATCAGTTAATGTAATCAATGGCCCTATTTGGATGCAGACCCTAAAAAGAGGCTGGACTAGTCTGAGGAAGAAATAGGTTGTTAGAATGTAAAATCTGTTAGCATGTTCGGCTCTAGAGACAGAATGTCCCTGTTTAAATTGTTTTGTGTTCTGCTGGCTCTGGGCATGTTTAGTTCTGTTTTGGATGTTTAAAGATTTAAGCTACTTGAAGGAATTGTAGTCATAGACTATGCAAGGTTCTGAGAGTGTTCTTTGTATTTCACCAAACTCAATAATAATAATAAACTCCAAAGTCAAAGTGAGGTGTTGCTGAATGGTGAGAATACTAACCTTTGTGCTCTATAGATGTATTTAGAGTTCCCAGTAAGCCTATATAGGAGTAGGAACACATAGGCACTACCAGCCACTCCATGGCAAATTCCAGGTCCCTTCTTCAGCAGGCCCTTCTGCCATGTCAGTTCCCCACAGCGGATACAAGTGTCTAGATACTGGGGCTTCTTGGAAATCAGAAAAGCTTTAGCAAACAGGTATGCAATACCTAGGGAAACAGCAGAGAAATCAGTTTTGTTTTTATAAGTACAGTCCAGCTGGTATAATGTTATATGATCAATACATAATAATATGGATATTCTCATCTATGATATATATTCACCTGAGTGTACACACCACATATGTGAGGGTGGTAGCAGAGTCATGTGATAAGTTGCATTTATCATGCACCTTTAAAAGCCTCACATGCAGTCACCCCACTAGCTGATCTCATTCCAGGACTAACATTCCAAACCCCTGAGCAGCTTAAAACAGCAGCCACATTTTTGTGTTTAAATCAGCCAGCCACAAGACAAGTCATTTTTTTCTCTCCCAAAGATGTGGAGTTCCCCCACCAAATCACATTGACCCAAGATCAAGGATGGGCAATAATTAGTCTTGCAACAATGACAGGTTTAAGACCCAGTAGTTCTCATTTCTACAGAGCTAGAAATGAGAACTAACCCCCTTTCCAATGGGACACATTGCACTTTATTCTAGCCCTGGCAGATCCTGAGATGCTGGCTGTCAGTAATGTCCTTTTTATGTATGAAAAAGCCATTTTAAGTCATTTTTAGAGGGGGTTCAGTTTTATTAGTTATAATCTCCATGTGATCACTGTGCAGTTGGATTCACAGTAATTAAAAGACAGATGCTACATGAGAAGAGATACAAATACAGCCTGAATTTTTAAAAAAATTCAAGTTCTCAAAAAACTGTTAAAAATAGCTCTCAGTGACATATACAAACATATATAGTGGCGTGGTATTGAGTAATGGCTGCATTACTTATGATTGATGAAGCGCACAACATAGAGAACTCCCAGGGAAAGGAAAATCAGAATATTTAGAAGGCTCTAAAAATTACCTCAAATAACTTTCCATTAAACATCCCAATTTTAACCACTTGATATCTTGGTGCTCCGAGGGCTAAGAGTAAGTGCTGTATCCCACTGGAAAGCCCCTGTTTTCTAATGGTATAAGTCATCCAGCTCTAGCCCTGCTGTGTTGTGAGGTAGCAGACTATCAATCGGTCCCTGGGACAGGACCAAATACTGCCCAACCTGCACCACAAACTCGTATAATTTTGTGGGGAAATATTCGCCTTTGAGGAGGAAGCAAGAAACTTTCATCCAGTCGGCTGTTCCGTAATGAGAGATTGTGGCCGTTTGAAATTTCTTCATGGTTTGTAGTGTTAGAAGTACTGGCCGGGAGATGTGGGCAGAGGGCAGGTGAGCCTGCCAAAGGGGCCTCTGCCACACAGATATCACCAGCACACACACAGTGGGCCAAACTCCCATTGGAGTCTAAATTTCTTTCTTTCCAAGAGAGAAATTAACTGAACAAAGCTGGTTTCACTTCCCTTCACCCACAGGGAAGGATCAGGAAAAAGGGACCTTCACTCCCTACACGTCAGGAAAAAGATAAAGCTTCGGCAGAATGCACAGTTAAGGGCTCTAATCATGTTGCACTGTTTGCAATTTGAAAAGAAGATATTTAAAATACATGGATCTCTGCTCCTGAACTTTGTTTAACAAAATGAATGGTACTGGAGCACTGTGTCAATTTTTGCTGCTATCTCCTAGGTTTAGGTTACAAAGCCAGTAAGAACAGTTAGCCACTATGTCCTGGTGGGAAGTAATTTCAATATATAACAGCACAAGCAAACACTGCTAAAGCAAGAGTGAGAGCCTCAACTGGGGTCAGCATGGAACTCAGACAGAAGCTTCCCCTCCTCCCCAGAGCTCTTAAATTTGGGGAAATTCCACAATTAACATTTTGCTAGTGCATACTCCTAGATCATAGACTTTAAGGCCAGAAGGGACCATCATCATCATCTAATCTGACCTCCTGCACATTGCAGGCCACAGAATCTCACCCACCTACTCCTGTAATAGACCCCTAACCTCTGGCTGAGTTACGGAAGTCCTAAAATCATGGTTCAAAGACTTCAAGTTACAGAGAATCCACCATTTACACTAGTGTAAAGCTGCAAGTGACCCGTGCCCCATGCTGCAGAGGAAGGTGAACACCCCCCACACACCTCCGGCCAGGTCTCTGCCAATTCTTTCCCAACCCAAATACAGTGATCAGTTAGACCCTGAGCATGTGGGCAAGACCCACCAGGCAGATACCTGGGAAAGAATTCTCTAGAGCAACTCAGAGCCCTCCCCATGTAGGTGTTCCATCTCCAGCCATTGGACGTATTTGTTACTTCCCTTCCCATAAAAAAATCGTTAGGTCAGATCTGTGCATAAGTGTACAATAGCAATAAACAGAAATAGGCTATGTTTGAGGGGAAGAGGCAAAAAACTTTTCCAGGCCCACCCATAAATACTAAAAAGTCTGGTATTGGCTGTGCCCCTTTCAGTATACTAAGGCTACCTTCACCCTCCAGCCAACCAGGACTTGCCTTGTAACTTGTATATATCATGCACTGAAGTCCCTGCTATGCATGGGAGCAAGGGCTTGGAATAGAGAGATCATACTTGGGCTTCTTGTATGAGAGTACAGGGCATTACAGCTGTCATCATCAGATGACATATTGTACTATTGGATTTTAATGGCTTTTGTAACAACATATTTGAAAGTACCTCAAAGTGTTTTGGGAACTTCCTTCATTGCCTGATCTTCCACCTACTTCAGTAATAAACAAAAAAGCTTAACGGAAAAAGGCATGAACAATTGCTTGACATAAATGGTAAAATCAGTAAAATTTGACCTGACGTTATTTTCTCAATGGAATCATTTAGTGTGAAAAGCATGTAATTGGTAACACCTGGCTACTTCACAGCATCAATTTGAAAAGGACCTGGAGCTCCATGACACCAGTGCACAAGCTCATTCTCCCGCTCAATTGTCTCTCCCAGTTCAGGAGGCCAGTTGCTGTTCTGTTCTTGGTCCATAAGAAAGTCAATGCTCTGCCATACAAGCTCCTGATCTGCAGGCTGAAGGTACTCGTAATAGGACAGCAGCATCTGAAGGATGGATGAAAGGCCATGGGCTGCACCTGTAAAGAATAGAAATGGTTAAAAGAAGAATTATTTTTGCTCACAGATCCATCACACTGCCTCTTTCTACTGGAAATAATTTCTGTGTGATGCAGATGGGTGTTCTGTCTTGTTTTGACAGTTATAATATTGTGTTGAGTAAAGGTTTTATACATGCAACTCAAAGATTTGTTACCACTTACATCTTTCAGATTCCTAAATTTAAAGAAAAACTCAGTATGAATTCACTCATTCTCACTATAGAGTGGCAACATTTGAGAATAATGAAAATTAAAGCACAGATAAAAGATTTCTCTACTGCATTTTACAAATACATAACAGCTGCAAACTCCTCGCTTCAAAGAGGCAAAGGCCCCAACTCAGTGAGGAGTCTCACAAAGTTTATGGATTTTTCCCTTATTACAAGTTTTTCTGCAGAAGGGAAATATTGGAGCCTAGTGGGAATATGCAGTGTATAACTAGCACTAATCACTGCATTCATTTTAGGTGGCCCAAATACAATATCTGTCCATTTACCTGTATGACCGTTTGTTTGTTAGGAAAAGCAGACTGTACACATTGTTTGCCTGCCAATGTCTTGTTTCTAAGTGGTCTATTATCTTGGTGTCAAAGCAATGCCTTGGTTTCTAAGTGGTTGGTGTGTTCTACTCACCAAGGTATTCTGTTCCATAATAAGAGTACATGAGTGGGCATGGTTTCCTCTTCTTCACAGCATACTGCTTCCCAGATTCTAATATAGCCTGGCAAATTGATCTGATCTGTACTGGGGTCAACATCTAAGCAGAAAACACCAAAAGAGACAGATTGTTATAACAATTTTCCCTTTTAAAAGTTATACAGCTCCCTCTTTTTCATCCTGGCACATATATTAAAGCATTGCCTCTGTGTGCATGCTAGAATGTATGCTGTAATGTTATTAACAATAACAATCATTTATATAGTGTGGTAGGATTACACAACATGTCTCACATACAGGCCTAAATCCTGCTTCAACTAAGTCAGTGACAAAATTCCCATTGATTTCAATGGGATCAGAGTAAGGCCCAATGAAAGAGAGATGCTCTCTCTTCCACAGATTTTACAGTCTAAGTGAAATGTGATAAACAAGCAGAAGATGAGACACAAGACAACAGCTCAGGGAATGGAGAGTGTGCAGTTACTAATGACAAGGAGAAAGGAGAGATTCTTAGAAAAAGTGGATTGTAAGGAGGAGCAAGGGGGCTTGGTGGATGAATGCTGACAGGCTGTTCCAGGCATAAGGAACAACATGTCAGGAGCTTTTAAGCAACATAACACAAGAAGAAAGGGAGAAGGTATTAAATTGGAGGAAGGTGCATTACATTTTCTTGTTTGTTTCATTTGTAGTTATAGTTGAGGATTAAGTGTTGGTATAGGAGATACTTGGGTTAAGGAACATCCTATCACACAACATGTCTGGGTGTATACCTCTTATCTCAAGGCAACATTACTGAAAATAAAGTGGTTAGTGGTTGTACAGCTGGTTAGAGGGTAGCCGTTTGCAATGCTTTATCACCACAAACAGGTCAAAGCTGCCTTTGTGTTTATTGATTGGTAAATAATTGGATGATGGCCCACCTTACAGCATTAGAAGGAAAAGGTGGCTACCTATTAATTTGTTTCATAGGAGATGTACTTTTTCAAGAACAGACTTTGTATTTCAGTAGTCAATTAGGAATTTGTTTTACATTTTCTTAATTAGAGCTCTAATGATATGCACTTTCCTGTGTTCATTAGCAATTTCCTCTCTACCACTCACATCTGTTACTGGCTGACCTTCACTAAGGAAGCTGAGAGAGGTTCATTTCTAGGCATTTTAATTGCCTGAATCATTAATTCAGGTGTAGTCTGTAGGAAAAAAGCATTTCACAAATAATCCTTTTTCACTCTTGTGAAGCGAGAAATAGAAGAGAAAAGTGACATCAGGAGGCAGAGAAATAAAAAAGAAATGTAATGAATCCTGACAGGACTAGTAACAGAAATAAAAACTAATGATAACCTTACCATTGCTCCTTTCAAACAGTCTCAAATAAACTACTTGTGCTATAGGACTTATAATGAGCTCTTCATTTTAAATAACGCTTTTTGAACTGTCAAGTATGCAGGCAATGTTCTTGAAAAGTTATGCACCCTTGCTGGATGAGCAAAATGAGGCGAATGGAGTTGGTGTTATTTAGGCCTTGAGAGGAAGAAAACGGTTGGAAAATCTCTCTGTTACCTCACTTGTACCCAAATAAAGTGTTCTCTGCTACAAACTGCTCAAAGTGACTGTGATATTTGTACACCCCCTTGCACAACAGAACCCTGATCAGAGTTTTTTAGTGTTACTGCAATACAAACGAATAAGGTTATTAATAATCATAGACTTCACTCATTTTTTGCTAGTGTCACCTTAGTCTAGTCACCTTAGGTTCACTGCATTTGCACCAATGGCTCTGAATTCTTTTCAGTTTTGTGATTATCATACAATCATAGAAATGGAGGGCTGGAAGAGACCTCAAGAGGTCATCTAGTCCAGCCCCCTGAAATGAGGCGGGACCAGGTATACATAAACCATCCCTGACAAGTGTTTGCCTAACCTGTTCTTAAAAACCTCCAACGACAGGGATTCCACAAACACCCTTGGAAGACCATTCTAGAGTTTAACTATGCTTATAGTTAGAAAGCTTTTTCTAATATCTCTAACCTAAATCTCTCTTACTATAGATTAAGCAGATTTCATCTTGTCCTGCCTTCAGTAGACACAGAGTACTCTTTGTAACAGCCATTAACATATTTGAAGATTATCAGCTCCTCCTCTCAGTCTTCTTTTCTCAAGACTAAATATGCCCAGGTTTTTTAACTTTTCCTCAGAGGTCAGGTTTTCTAAACCTCTTATCATTTTTGTTGCTCTCCTCCGGACTCTCTCCAATTTGTCCACATCTTTCTTAAACTGTCATGCCCAGAACTGTATACAGTATTCCAGCTGAGGCCTCACCAGTGCCATGTAGAGCAAGATAATTACCTCCCTGGTCTAACACCCTGACACCCTGGTTAAAATACCCCCAAATTATATGAGTCTTTTTCACAACTGCATCACACTGTTGACTCATGTTCAATTTGTAATCCACTATAACCCCCAGATGAGGAGTAGTCAATAGGTGGACCGCGGGCCCAATCTGGACTGCCAGACTCTTTTGAATGGACCCCAAAAATCTTTTAAATTTACTTATTATTGTTGGGTTTTATTATTATTTTCTCTGGAGTCTGGGCCTTCACCAAGAAATCTGGACTTTGACAAAAACTAATTGATTACCCCTGCCCCAGATCCTTTTCAGCAGTATTACTGCCTAGCCATGTATTCCCCATTTTGCAGCTGCTCATTTGATTTTTTTCTTCCTAAGTGAAGTACTTTGCACTCGGCTTTACTGAATTTCATCTTGTTTATTTCAGATCAATTCTCCAATTTGTCAAGGTTGTTTTGAATTCTAATCCTGTCCTCCAAAGTGCTTACAACCCCTCCCAGCTTGGCATCATCTGCAAATTTCATAAGCATACTCTCCCCTGCATTATCCACGTCATTAATGAAAATATTGACTAGTACTGGACCCAGAACTGACCCCTGTGGAGCCCATTGGATATGTCCTCCAAGTTCAACAGTAAACCATTGATAACTACTCGAAGTTTCAGTTAGGCTTTGTTAAGAATCCTAAACAATTTTTCTTTTGAAAAGAAATATGAATTAGGGGCTTGTCCTCAGATCCTCCATCACAGTGTCTTTAAAAAAACAAAAAGAAACAAAAAAACCGTGTTATTTAATCCTGGACCTCAAACACAACCATATGATCATTGCATGGTATTATTACAGGGCAGAATTAATCATGCTTGGGTTATTTAATGTGCATTTCCATAAACACACTTGGATTTCTTTTAAATTTAATCTCTACTCACAGTTGCCCTGGGAAAATGACATCTCTGTAATGTTTTTATCCTAAATTATTGATATATGCTCTCAATCTTAACTCCATTTTAATATTTTTTTCCTGGAAATTACTGTAGTATTTCATTTTATTTGTGATTTTCCTTTGAGCCATCAAAAAAATAGACAGAAGCACCAACTGCAAATTGTTAGGAAGGATAAACTGTATACCATCTCCAACCAACTCCAAACCATCTGTGAGATGTTTGATGGTGAAAAAAATAAGGCCAGTAGAGAAATGCTCTCGTAATCCATAGAAATCCTTGTCTTTGAGGTAGTTGTAATTCTGGTAAACTGTTTTTCCCAGGCCACTTCAAAGGCTGTCAGATTTAATACATGTTGGTCATTCAGTAGGTGGCATTATTCCCTTTAAGGCAATAGCTGAATGGCAGTGAGAAGCATTGCACTTCTGCAAGTGCTATTTTTCAGATTAGATTTATGTGGATATAAAAAGTTCTATGGGATCTTTAATAACCGTAGACGTGTTAATCTTAATATCCTCATTACATTTCAATGCAGATCATTACAATCTGCCTGCCTACGTTTTCCCTGCAATTTCAGTTGAGTAGGAAAGGCTTTTTTTCCTCTTCTGAAACATTGAGTAATGTTGCTGGGTGGTGTTAAACAGCTACTGTTTTCTGGTGATGGATGAAGTGATCTCCTAGCGCTCTTACTTTCTCAATCACCCTTAAATACACCATTTAAGGACTTAACTACGCTCGGTCCATAGTCTCTCCATTTGTCTATTTTGTCAGTCCAGAGTACCTGTCTCCTTTCATGAAGACACCCCCTGTGTTTAGCAACGGGTTCCCAACTAATTTAACCCAAGCATCTCATTCAGTAAATAAATAAAACCCTACTAAAAAACCCACCGGGAATTGTTTGGTCTATAATGACCATTTAACCCTTCTGGCTGTTCATTACCAGATGGTAGAATTGCTCATCCTTTTCAGGTTGGACACCCTTTATTCAAAGTCAAACATTTTCATGATTCCCTTATACATTTACCATAAAAGAGTAAAAAAAAAAGGTATCAGTGAGGACAATGTTAAGCCTATCTCATTTGTGTGTGTGTGCGCGCTTGCACGCATGCGCGCGCAGAGAGGTTGATAGAGAATACTTACCTTGAAGGGTAAAGGTGTGTGGGGAGTGGGGGAGAGAGATTTGCTTTGCTTAAGATTGTAATACACTTTTCAACAACTCATGACCTTTATGACTGCATTTGGGGGTTCTGACTCCCCCCTTGAGAAACACTACTATATAGTACTGTGTACCATACAAGCTACCTGATTTGTTTTGTTACAACTATATTGTTGTACTGCATTGTGTACATCTATGACAAAAAGTACTATGTAAGTGCCAAGTATTATTATTTAATAATTTGTGTGATCATAGTTCTAGAATGGTGATTTTCAACCTGTGGTTCATGGGCCATTAGGTGTTTTCAGACTATGTCTAAGATTTTCAAAGGGGTTTGCACTTCATTCAAAAATTTTTAGGGGTCTGCAAATGAAAAAAGGTTGAAAACTACTGTTCTAGAATGTAACATTTGCATTTATTGCATTATACCGGAAGCCTTGTTTTATGCATGTAAAAGTTACTGGCTATAGACTTAACAGATCAAATTTCTCCCTGATGTTACTGTAATAAAGGATCTAAATGATTTTAACCATATATTTCTTGAAATATTTTATAACAATGTCAAAAATAGCAATTGAAATTTGTGCCGTACTATCAAAAGGCTTTGTTTTGAAATCTCATAATGAAGTATTCTGAACACCCAGCAGAAGGAGCTTTTGA